CAATCCAGGCACTTGTCCAAGAAGCCCGGTCTAATTTTCAAAATTGAGTGGGAAAAAGGATATGACCATGTTGATTGGTCATTGCTGGATGAGACAATGGCAAGAACGGGATTTGGGGTCCTCTAGAGAAAGTGGATGAGAAGTTGCTTTTCTCATCCCCACTTCTCGGTCCTTATTAACGGAACTCCTAAAGGGTTCTTTCTTTCCTCGAGAGGGCTTCACAAAGGGGACCCTCTGTCCCCATTTCTTTTTGCGATAGCTGCAGAAGTATTTAGCCCCTCAATCGCTCGAATGTACCAGGAAGGCCTCCTCACTCCCTATAAATGTAGTCCACAAGGCCCAAAGGTGTCTCACCTGCAATACGCAGATGACACCTTGGTATTCTTAGACGCCTCCCCAGAAGAAATTGAAAATCTGAGGCTCTTCCTCAAATGCTTCTAAACTGTCACAGGCTTCAAGGTCAATATGGATAAATTAAAGACGATGGGGGTGGGACTTACAAACGATGAAATCAGGGCACTCATCCCAAATTGGGATTGTAAAGTGGAGGATTTCCCCACCACCGACCTGGGTATACCATTGGGATTGGGTAAGCCCAAAAAGAGATTGTGGTCCCAAGTCATAGATGGAGTCAACGGGCTGGAAAGGGAGATACCTCTCCTTGGCTGGCCGCAATACGCTGGTCAAAGCAATACTGGCTAATGCTCCGGTGTATTTAATGTCTATCTTCCACATGCCAGCCTCGGTGGCCAACCGTCTAGACCACCTTATGAGGAATTTCCTCTGGTCAAAACAGGTTCTAAAAAACCAGACATCAGCTTATCTCTTGGGACAAAGTTCGACTACCCAAGTCTCAAGGAGGGCTTGGGATCAGGGACCTAAGACAACACAACTCGCTCTACTAGGGAAATGGTGGTGGCGCTTAGCCACCCAGACTGATTATCTATGGGCCCAGGTTATTCGTAGCAAATATAAGATCCCGGATAAAATGTGGGTGCCTGAAAGGATTTCCCTGAGTAGGGCCTCAGGAGCATGGAAGTCTTTTGCCTCTTCTCTCTCACTGTTCAAACAAACCATCCGATTTCAACCTAAAGAAGGTACAAGAGTGCGCTTCTGGTACGACCTCTAAATTGGACACACTCCTCTAAGGGACCTCTTCCCATCCCTTTATCATCTTACCTCTAATCAAGACTCAACCATAGCAGAAGAAATGGTCCTTTCAAGAAGAGTCTGGAACCTTTCTTTCATAAGAAACCTCACTGAAGAGGAAACTAGACTCTTCCTTTCACTCTCGGCAGCTTTGCAACCCTACTTCATAGCTCCACTTGGGAGGGACTCTCTTATCTGGACCCTTACTCCATTCGATATATTCTCAATGGCCTCATTCTACAAAAGACTCATTCAACCCCCCACTTAACCCTATTTCTGTCCTTTCCAAGGTCTGGTCCACCATAGCTCCTCCAAAAGTATAGACTTTCAACTGGATTGCCACTTCTCAATGGGCTCTCATAGTTGACCAGCTTCAAAAGAGAGGAATTTCGATCCCCAACATATGCGCAATGTGCATGAGTGAGGAGGAATCAAATCCACACCTTTTCATTCACTGTAGCCTAGCTTTTGACCTGTGGAGCCAAGCACTACATTTGTTTCGCCTTTAATGAGTCATTCCACCCGCAATCAAGGCTCTAATCGCATCCTCCTACTCCTGTCATTGGCCGAAGGCAGGTAGAGTATTGTGGAAGGCTACCGTCGCAGCAACTATTTGGGTCATTTGGTTAAAAAGGAACGCGAGGGTCTTCCAAGGTCACAAAAACTTAGCTTCAGCGCTCTTCCATAAGGTACTTTCTGGGCCTCTAACCACAAGGCCTTCTTAGGGATTTTGCCAACACCTTTCTCAGCCAATGGGACAACATCCTATATCTCTAGCCACAGAAGCTTCAAAGACCCAACAACTGGCTGCTTCCTCCAGTAGTTGCCATTAAGCTCAATTTCTATGGTTGCTCGCTGGGGAACCCTGGCCCTACTGGAGTCGAAGGTGTTTTTCATGACCATCATCGCAATATCCTCGTCACTTATTCCAAAGACTTGCGTCATAAAGATTCCCAGTACGTTGAAGCCATGGCTCTTAAAAATTTTAACCTTTCTTGGGGCTTACAACTACTAGTGGAAGGAGACGCTCAAAATATCATCTTCTGGGTAACAAGCACCTCACCACACCCTTGGTACCTCTTCTCGATTTTTGATGACATTGCTAACATATGTAGGGATATGAACGTCTTATGGAAGCATACTTGGAGGACGTCCAACAAATTTGCCGATCTTCTTGCAAAATACAGAGCTAGAGCCCATGCTGAAGACCCCGCCCGGTCCATCTTCTTTTTACTCTGAACCACAGAGGATGTTTAGGCACTTAGCTACACACATCTACAGATTTTGTAATCGGGCAACTCCATAAGCCTCATTTTTTGTAACACACAAGTACTTTTGTAATCAGGCAGGTCTTGACCTATTTTTTGACCGAGAGACCCGACCTGTGGGTTCTCTCGGTTCTCCCTCCTTTTATGTATTCTAACACTATACAGAAATATAAAAGTTAACTTTCATCAAACAAAAAATTATCTCAAATATTTAGAGAAAGAAACTATCTCAAATTTAATGAAAAACTAATATTATAATGAATATAAAATAAAAAATATTTAACAAAAAAAGTAAACAAAAAAAACGCCATGAAAATATTATGAATCCATGTACACCATCCAAAGAGCCAAAATTTATTTTATCGAAAATACTTTTTTGAAAAATATTTTAAAGGAAATAGATTTTTCCAGGTAATCTTTTTCCATGGATCCAAACGGCCCCTAAAAGTATTTGCATGACCAATTCTACCCAGCCTCTGTAACATAACATCATTTGCCCCAAGTGAAGAAACAAATGACAACGCATCTGTGAATTGTTTCTTTAAAGTCTTAGGCATCCACTTAGGATATGCCTCCCTCTAGAGCACCTACAATGCTAACCCCAGAACCACCCACAGTGAAAGTAGCTGATGTGTCAATTACATCCTAGCAATGTTGAGATCATATATTACCAATCATAATTCAGATAGTTCAACCAATTGCTTGTGTATAAGATCCATACGGCTTGCCAAACTAAATGCAACCAATGTAAAGTAACTTAGACACATTTCAACAAATGTCGACACACGAGAGAGGACAAGATATGCATGTCTGGCACTTAGACACTTCGGAAAGAAACATCTACTTTATCTTTTTTCCATTGGAATGTCATAATTAAGTACTAAAATTACTAAAATGCCAATCCCTAATGTTTAAATGACATAATGAAAATGTCATATTTAAAAGGCAAACCCCAATATTGGTGTTTTAGAAGCTAGTTTCCGTGTCAGATGAAGATGGAAGAATTAACTAGAATGCAAGCAGATTCAAACAAGAATATCAGCAAATGAGCATGGGTATGTCGATGAAAATGAAGGGGGAGTCCTTACATATGTACTTTAATCTTCTTGTTGTACTTTAATCATGCTATCAATGTTCAGGATAGTAGGAACAAACTTTTTAATCTTCGTATTCATAATCATCATCATCCGAGCCTTTTCTCAACTATTTGGAGCCGTTTCATGAATCCTGGTTCGCCATGCTGCTCTATCAAGAGTCATACCATCAATAAGGCCATAAGTCCCCATATCTTTTTTCACTACTTCCAACCATGTCCTTTTAGGCCTACCCCTTACTTTTTTTAGCCTTCCACTAGAACAAACTTGCAACTCCTAACAGATATTGTATTGGGTCTACGCTGCACATGGTCAGCCCACCTAAGTTTACTTTCTCTCACCTTATCACCTATTGGAGCCACACCTAAGTTCTCTCGAATGTATTCATATCAAATTCTATCCCTTCTTGTCTTGGTACTCATCTATTTTGACATCCTCATACCCTCATCCTATAGGTATGTTGTTTCTTAACCGCTAACATTCCGCCCCATAAAGCGAAGCCGATCTCACAGTTGTGCTATAGAACTTTTCCTTCAACTTTATCGGTATGTGGCGATCACATTAAACTCTAGTTGCACATCTCCACTTCCCCACGCAGCTTTGATTCTATGTGCGATATTTTCATCAATCTCTCCATTTTCGTGGATTATAGATCCAAGACATCGAAAGTGTACTCTTTTTGTATTTCTTGGCCGTCAACCTTAACTACTTCCTCGTCTCTATTCCTACTATCACTAAACTAGCATTCTATATACTTTGTATTAGCATTTAAATTATAATGTTAAAAGCAAAAACTTTCTTTTGATGTATCTAAGAATGGAATTTATTCCCACTTCTGCTTTAGAAGTTTAAACGTCTTGTTTTTTTGTTGTTCATGTTTCTTTTTACGTGTGTTTTTTGGGCGGGTGTTGGGGGGGGTGTTTGAGGGGCTTAAATGGCCAAGGGGCAATTTTATGCCCCATGGACCTGGCCAATGTGGCAAGAAAACCAAAGAGAAGCAAAACCCACAAAATATGTATACAGTCTGCTTCTGCCAAATAGATTTACTCAGCCTCTTCAAAGAGCAAATTTTCTTTGGTCCAAAAGTGCAAGGAGCATCTAAAAGCTGCCCAACAAGTTTTAATGGTTTCACGTCCACCAAGAGACTGAAGTAAATGTCAAAACATTGATTTGAAGATTCCAGGAAAAATGTCAATTCAATGCCCAAGGCCCATGGCCTATTATTGTTAAATAATAACAACAACAACAACAAACTATTGCCCAATACTCATGAAAACAAAGATGAAGAATTAAATAATAATAATAACAACAACAAGAAGAAACTACAGCCTCATGAAAACAAAGATGAAGAACTCTTTCATTGACGTTGATCATGATAGAATAAAGAAGTTATACTGTTGTAAACAAGACTAAAGAATAATACCCACCTCTAAGCAAGCAATGTAACAACAACATCAGGTTCTAAAAGTTTTATGGAAAAATCACTAACCTTAACCCAGTAGCGATCACTCCAACACTTGCTCCTATCGTCCTGTATGAAACACAGAAAATAAGAGAAAAAGTGAATCACACTTCCCAAATTGTGGTTTGAGCAATGTCACAATCAGGAAGTTTCAAATTCTAACAAGTTCAATGACACAAAGGAATAAGGACACAATCAACAGAAATGTATAACAATTTTTTCCCATGAAACTACTACATGACTAATTAAATATAAATATGAAAGCCATATAAAATGTGGAATAATTCTTAAAGAAACTGAAAAGAAATAAGTTCACATATGTGTCACAGATTTCTAAAATACACACACCTTCCGATTGGACGTGTACTCAAGCATTTGATGAGTTATTATCTTTTTAAAGAAGATGTGCTGTAAATGATATTTCGCATGCTCCTAAAGAGGTAAACTTTGAAGCAAGTCTTTCTACAGTTATCAAATTGGCGGACATTTTATGAGTGTTCTTTTTTCCCTCTATTCTGAAGCACATGTCTATACTAACTCTTTCATTCTCTCCTTATATTAAAATTGTTAATTATAAAGCACATATTGGTGACACCTAAGAAAACATATTCAAATACAGAGTAGAGAGTCAAATCAATAAATGATATTCCATTGCATCATGACGAGATTAAGTTGTGGCACGCATCATCAGAAAAAGTCGCAAAAACAAAATATCAGTACACAAATGAGATATGAAAATCACCTTTCCGATTAGAAACAATGGTATCAAGAATGAAGGAAGTGCCGCCACCAATCCTACAAGCAAGTACTCCAACTCTGTAAAACTCTGTCAATTAACCAAAGATAATTGCCTAAATTGTCAATCACAACATTGAGAGAATACAAAGAACATTGCACGGAAATAATCTTTTCAATAATTTGGATATCCTATTTGTGGACATTAAAATCATGGGTATTACATGGATATAATCTATCGCAAACTATCTCAAGCAATAAATGAGTGTAAGCATGATGCAGTTTCCCGAGATAACTTTTCAATCTTGCAAACACGTCATATGGACCAGTGAAAAGCAAATGTTAACCACAATACTAACAAATGATGAAATCTCTTACGAATCTTAACATTGATGATGCAAAACTAAGGCTCTCAAACTTAAGGTTGCAAAAACAACTCACAAATTTAAATAAGGAAAATTGAACCCATAAAATCTGACTTCATGAAAGAAGAAACCCACAGGAAGTGAAGAACTGTAAGAATAAGCAAATCAGAACACAGCAAAAATCAATTTTGAGGAAATGTCATATTTCTCATGAGCAAGTACAATGCAGAAGCCTCAAAATCCTGTATAACAAAGGCTATCAAGAAGAGAAATATCTCGGCCTGGTTCTTTTATTGGGTAATTCAGAATTAGGATTTAATCTTGGGAAATCAAGCCCATGCCAGGATTCTATCTCGGTTTCACTCACGACTCCTCATCATCAATTTTCAAGGAATATGAGATCTCTATCTTCTTTCAAAAGAGAGTAATATGGGTCAAACATCACTTTGACTAAATGATAACATTTGAAATTGCATGAAATCAAAAGTTTTAAATTTTAAACAAGTATGTTCTAAACTTCTAATACAAAAAACACTATAGGATCAAAGAACACCAACCTCATATAACTTGTAGGGAACAATGATTCCAAGGGTGAGAGTGAGCCAAAAGGGTGTATATAGGAGGAAAAATATCTCACCCCATCTCTTACTGGGAGTTGGGGCGAACCATAAACTGTCAGCTTCTTTAGAACCTACACAGTCTCAAAAAAAAAAGAGGAAAAAAAAAAAAAGGTAAATCAATATACGAAAGACTCAGTATCAGGAATAATGTGAATCAAGAAAAACCAACATGACAATGCAAAGCAGGAATAACGTGAATCAAGAAAAACCAAAATGAAAATGCAAAGTCAAAATATAATTAGAAGAATCAGGATGAACCATATGGAAATTTGCACTCAGCATGTTGCTAAATATAGGGAAAAAAAATAAGAACTACATTTTCAGATTGAAGAGACAAAAAAGAACACTGAAAGCAATATTAAAAAAATAAAAAAAATCATCAAATAAACATCTATGTGCTTGGAAAAGAGAGATTTGATTTCTTTGCACTGAGAAAACAATATTTTTTTTTTTTGAGAAAAGTCGACAGTATCATAATAGACTGAAACCCAAAAAAAAAAAAACCAAAGTGAATCTAATTTACAGAAAGAGAAAAATGGATCCCAGGTATTGCTACCCCATCAAAAAATTACTTAAAGAAAGAAGAAAGAAATGCACAATAGCATGTGATTGAGTTAATGAAGTTAATTTTTTTTTTGAAGTACTACTGTACTTGATACCATACTATCCAGACAAGAAAAATTAACAACAAATGTTTAACAAATAATGGTCAGTAATGGGGAACTGTTAATAAAACGAAGGACATTTGATCAAAATTAAATTTATTGTTCCAAAAAAATGAATTATATGGGCAAATTAATTAATGAAGAAATACTAGACAGTGCATGTATGCATAAATAATAAATAACAAGTAAATCCCTACCCATTTTTGTTTTCAAGAACCCAAATGATGGACTGGTTGAGACTTCCAGTGACACCTGCTCTATCTCTCTCTCTCTCTCCTCTCTTGATCTCTTCTTTCTCTCTCTTTGAATGTGATTCACGACGAAAAATTACTCTGGTAATAATCAGATAATTTGAAATGGCCCGCCGAAATGGCTGCGTTCGTTTTAGAGACCAACTGTGCCAAACCTTTAAGGAAAAAGTTTATTTAGACCGAGGGCTCTACGCTATCAAATTAGAGCCCACCTTAAAAATTTCACTAGAAGGGTTTGTTTTTGTTGCTAAAAAATGATCAAATTGATTCATCCTAGAACTACGGATGCCCTTCAAAAATCCATCGAAAAAAGTAGTTTTAATGTTAAAAAACCCTTTGATCGATCATCTCGACATCGAGATATATAACTATGAAAAATAAAAAGATTTTAAGTCTTAAAAATACTGCATTTTACAACATATTATCTACACCGTCCATTTTCAAGATTTTCATAGGTTTATAGATCTACTTGATTTTAACCATTTTTGAAATTTAAAATTTCATAATTAGATATACAAATAGATTTTGAAATAATCCTATGTACATTTCACATCAAAATTATATACCATAATAAAATTTGAAGGTGCACCTTCCCTCTACACCTACAAATGTATGCAAACTGCACCCTTCATATAATTGGTATATACTATTGCCTTGATCTTTAATGGTTGTTGAATCATTATCTCTTCCTTGTTTAATCCTACTTTTAGTAAATTTATTTCATAGACCAAAATTTAAATACTTCAAATCAATGGAACAAAAGCAAGAAATTTGTAGAGACCAACAAATGGAAGAAAAGAAGTTTTTTTTAGAAGGTTGTTTTGAGAAAAAATAAAAAAAAATGGGCATTTATATATGTTCTACCAACAAAATACAATTTTTTTAAAGTATTTTAAAAAACTTAAAGTTTTTAATAAATTTCAAAAAATAAGAAATTGAAGACATGCTAACTACGGTGTCTGTCACCCCATTTTTCTCGCAAATTTTCTATTTACATTCATAACACTAATTCAAATTCAACTAATAAGTGATTTGAAAAAATATATATATATCATCATCACAGTTTTTTCCAATTATTTGGAGTCGATTAAACAAATCATAGTCTGTCATTCTGCTATATCAATTGTCATATCATCAGCGAGGCCATAAGTCCCTAAATATTTTCTTATTACTTCCAACCATGTATTGTTGGGGCTATTCATTGCCTTTTTTAACTTCATTTATAAAATTAATATACAAACATACAATAAAAAAAACAAAGAATAAAATATGTAACTATAAGATGGGATTACATGCTAGAATACCATTTACCTTTGGTAGGTCATCACAATAATCCCTACCTGCCATGTTTGAAATTCGACAACTTGAGGTGTTACAAACTTGAGTCCAATCAATGATATATCTTTAGTGGCCCGATTTTTACAGTCAATGACTGCAAGTGATTGTGACCACCTTATACCAAACGATAAATAATTTTATTATATACTTTACCTTACAAGAAGTATTGATACTTAAATTTAAAGGTTTTAAAAATAGACAAAGCATCGACATTTGAGGCCACATGATTTAAAAAAGAGTGTAAACAAATAAATTTAAAACTTAGACCCCCAACATGTTTATGCTCATGTGCACTTATGCTTTTTTCTATTAAATAGTTGCGGGTAGATATGGTACCATGTTCATGGAAAATACCATATTCACGGAAAATATTTAGGGTGTGATGTGTATAATGTGCCAACCTTAACAATGAAAGTAAGCAACTCTAAATATTTCCAGAAGACGTAGTTTCGGTGTCAGAAATTCTTGTGATAGCTTAAAAATATATTTTTAATATCAATTATGATATTTAAAGCTCCATAAATATTGTAGATCGGGCAAAATTATAAACACTTACCAATTTTGAGAATGGAAGGTCTAAATAATGTGTTACAGGATGTACTATTTTTAAGGCTTGAAATCATTTATTTATGTCAATACATCTTGAGGCCCATATGATCAATTTTAGGGTTTTACGATGTTGGAATAACTTTTTTAGATAAAATTTTAAAGTGCACCTTACTTCAATAGTATAATATTTTCTTTTTGGGTAATTTGAATAGTATAATGCTTTTTTTTTTTTGTTGGGTCATTCAATTGGGATGACGAGCCCCTACCTGTTTTTTAAATCATTAGTGATGTTTTAATGTGTTAGGTGAGAATGGAAGCCTAGACCTGAAAAAGTTCTAAAAAAATTGACAAAAAATGCAACAATTACTATTTTTTATATGAACAATTGGCCAAGGGTCTTTTGCTAGTCTCTCTTTCCCTCTCTCATTTAAGCCAAGCAGTTTATGTTTCTACAGAATATTTTTTTTCTTCGTACAATTTCCACGGTCTATTGTTGACAATGGATGGTGGCGATGAATCCGTTTTCCCACACATTAGTAAAGAAGGAAAAATATATGTATAACCAAAAAGAATATATGCCTTAGGGAGCATATGTTTATTTGTTCCCTTCGGTAAAATCAAATGAATATTACGAACGTTCGTTTTAAGGATAGTTAGATCTAAGTATTTAGGAGCACAAAATCTTTTTTTTAAAAAAAAAACAAATACTCCAATAGAAGGGATAGTTACATCTTAGTATTTAGGAACATAAATCTAGTTTCTTTATTTTTATTGAAAATACTCCAGTAGAAGGCTAAAAAAGGACAACAGTTAGGCTCAAAAGGACATGGTTGGGAGTAGTGAGAAAACGATATTGGGACTTGTAGCCTCAGTATGACCCTTAACATAGCAGAATGGTGGATTAAGATTCATGTAGCTAACCCTAATTAGTTGAAAAATGATTTGACGATGATAATATGTAAGATCCGAGACGTTTTCGATCTTTGATCATGTTTACATCTTGAATCACTTTCGATTAATGCTAATCTCAGTGTTCGTTTGATTTGTTGTATAACGTTTAGATGGTGTTTTGAGTGATACTGTATTATTGTAGGGATCGTGAGCTTTTCAATGGTACGAAAATCGCTCAAATCCGAGCTACCGTCAGGAAGCCCTGATCTATACCCCAAAATTTTCTGTTGTGCATCCCAATGCACATACACGCATTCCAATGCACATGATTACAACATGATTGCCCCCCACACAATGATTGCACATGCTCTCTCTCTCTCTCCTCTCACATGCTCTCTTTCTCTTCAAGCATGAGTGTCATGTGGTACATGCATGCTACCATGTCATGATTATGTCTCCCATGCTTGCCCCCCCTCTCTATTCTCATGAATGCTTCTTATGTGCTACTTGTCAATTGCATACTACCCCCACTCTTGTTTACTTATACCCCCTTCTCACCTCTCACATTGATTTTTCCTCTCTCTCTTCTCACTTATTTTTCTCACCCACATTCTTCTCTCTTGCCTTAAGACTTTAAGACCTCCCTAAGCCTTAAGCCCTTGAGTTGAACCCAATCCTTTGGAGCTTAGCAATGAAGGTGAAACTTGTGAAGCATTTTGAGAGTTTTGATTTAGCTCAAGTAAGTGGATATGGTTTCCATGTTTTCATAGTTTTGTTTGATACATGTTTTTTTAGCTTATCAAAGTATGAAATTCTAGTATGCATATGGGTGTGAATATGAGTGCGGGTGCGTGTTACTAAAAGCCTGCTAGAGGGTATTTTGTTTTCCATAATTGTGGCTCCGGTTAGAGAAACTATTTGAGTATCCTATATATCTCCTTAGATCATGAAATTTTGTGAAAAAAGTAGCTCATTGAGTCTATTTTATTATAGAAAAGACTTATTGCTAATATTCCTTTTGGTTTAAATGCTATTTACCATTTGTTAAAGTATGTCATATTTGTGAAATGAAATTCTAGGGATTTTATGTATTTTTGTGTGGAGCTTTTTATTGGCCAAAACATATCATAATGGGGTTAAACCACTTCTAAATGAAAGGTAAATGAATATATTTTGAAAACAGTTTCGGAATCATGATTAAATTCCATGAGGTTTGAAAGTTATGCCCGTTTTCCTATGAGTATAATATCCTGGATTTTGTGCTATGAAAACATGAACTTTGTTCAAGGATATCAAATAGTTTGACAACCTTTAACCCAAAATTTGGGATTACCCCCTTTACGAAAGTTGTGTTTTCATGAGACTAAATTGTTATAAAAGTGGTCTCAAGTCCAAATGATTTTTTCATCTCATGATATACCTTTAAAAGTGGACTGTGTTTACTGTGAAAGACTAGAAAAATGACATGATAACGTCTTTTGAGCTAATGAGCCTGATGATATGATTACATGCATAGCATGCTTTGGATATATTTATGTTTCATATGAACTTGTATCTGTTATTATATTTGAGCATGTTAATCTATTGCTAATGTGCGATGAATGCATGATAATAAGATATGCTCTGTTATGATATGAACGCATGTAGTAAGACATGCTTAATTATGATATGAATGCATGATAATGAGATCTGCTCTATTATGATACGAATGCATGTAGTAAGACATGATCAGTTATGATATGAATGCATGATAATGAAATATGCTCTGTTATGATATGACTGCATGTAGTAAAAGATGCTCAGTTATGAAATAAATGCATGATAATGAGTTACGCTCTGTTATGATATGAATGCATGTAGCATGACATGCTCTATTATAATATGAATGTATGACAATGAGACATGTTTCTTATGATATATGAGAGCATGTAGTAAGACATGCTCTGTTACGATGTGTACATGATTATGATATATGCTCTATGTGTACATGATTTTGAGACATGCTATGTGATAAAAGCCCATGTGTGGTCAGTGATATGTGTGCATTATTTTGAGACATGCTATGTGATAAAGACCCGTGTATAGTCAGTGATACGTGTGTATGATTTTGAGACATGCTATGTGATAAAGGCCCATGTGTGGTCAGTGATATGCGTGCATGATTTAGAGACATGCTATATGATAAAGACCCATGTGTAGTCAGTGATACGTGTGCATGGTTTTGAGACATATGTGTGGTCACTGATATGTGATATGGACTGTGTGGTCAAATAACTTATGCCGGCTATTGTGATCTTTCCCCGACTCCATATGATAAGACAGGAGTTAGGATCTGTGTGTGTTGGGAGGGTCGTGTCCCCCCCAAAATTCGGTGTAAGGCACCGTGCCTTACAAGGCCTCCGCCTATA